AGCAACTTCTCGGACCTTTTCGTCGGTCATAATAGCCGATCATTCCGATTGGTATGAGGGTGTTTGATTATCAAAAAGAACAATGAATAGCGAACTGGAGAATTTCGCAATGCAAACATATTCAAATGAAATTCACGGATTGACAGTTTCCGAACTAGCAGACAACAGGCTATTCTTATCGAGTAAAGATTACCGATTGCGTATCTCACTGTATAAAACCACAGGTGGCAGTATCAGTGTTTGGACACCCCACCCCTATCTGCCCCTGGTCACCTACTACAACCCTGAAAAAATCATTAAACACTCTAAGGCTAACTATAAGGTATCAAATATTGATTTTATTGATGTTAATGAATGATGCAGCGAAATGCCGCCGGAATATTCCTGAGTCGCCGAAACGACGATTTCCCGTTTTCCACATTGTTTGGCAAATGAACATATAGTCACCTTTCTATAACTATAATTTTGATAGTGGAAAAAAAAAATTAAAAATAATTTTATCGGTGGTTTTGTATTTGATACCTTATAGTTAGCCTTAGAGTGTTGAATTTTTTTTCAGGGTTGTAGTAGGGGTCCAGGGGCAAATAGGGGTGGGGTGTCCAAACACTGATTGTGGTAATGTCAAAAATGGTCTGACTTGTGATAGGTTTATCCGTAAATTTCGATACCTTTATTGTCAAACAATGTGTTGAAATATATACTGAGACGAAGCTAAGATCACAAGCTTTTCATTGGTGTATAAAAATTTAAAATCGGACATTAAATTGGCCCAAACTAGCGGTTTAAAAACGGCTAAATTTGCATTGTTTTAGCATTAGATATATCGATTTTACTCGAAGATAAGGGATTTTTCACTCGATATACCTCGGTTATTTACGTAGGTCATACAGAGACTGTCAATGGGTGTATTATCTTATCCGTCAATTAATCGCGTTCTTCGGGATTTTTCTGTACGAAATCTGCTGTGGTCATAGTATTATTTTTACAATAGGTTTATCTCTTAGATTTGGTTTGCTATTGCTAATCATGGTCATGCAACTTCATAGTTAGGTGAAGAAGCAGGCGCTTGTTTTTGGTTGAGTCTATTATGTTTTGTTTAGGGGGTGAGTTGTCATACACAAATTTACAATTTATATGCATTTATCTTTTTCCAATGATTGTTATTATCTTAAATGCTTCTGGGATTGTTGTTTTATCAATTCATTTGTAAATAAGATTGTTATATGTCTATTAACGGAATAATTTTATTGAACACGAAATTAGTTCACACCTTTATAAATGTGTATTGACAACGTGATTGTTTAAGCCAATAAAAACACATCAATATTATTACAGTCAGGCAGAGAAAAAGTGTGCAAAGAGTAATCGATAATCTTTATGTGGCAAAAAAACTTTGAATTGGAGGTATTTTTTCATATCTTTTCGGAAGGATAAACTGTCCGAGGAGGGCCAGGCATTTTCGTATCGTAAAATGGCTGCCATTTACAGTATCAAGTGTTTACCCCAAGCACCACCGCGACATTGCGCGGGAATTTTAATTATAGCTAACCTCGGCGCGTCGCATAGGATGGAAAATACCTTTTTCATCTTTTATTGTAATAAATATTTACAAACTGTGTATTTCGGTTTTTTATCAATATATAACCAATAATGATGTTAATATGAATAAATAATCATATCTCAAATCTGTGACTATGATTTACAATAAAAAAAAATTGTCATTTGTTATGTTATAAACGTCAATTTTTTCTGAAGAAGACTAAACGTCGAAAGCTTAAGAAAAGCGTTTGTTTTTATTGAACTGATTATATATGATTTACAATGAAATTCTACCTTAAGTGTATTAAAAAGGTTTTTTAATTTCCTGTAATTTTATTTTGTGATTATGCTTCAAAGCAGTCAATTGACCGTGAATTTTCTTTTCATATTTTGATTTCCTTGAAATCATTTTTCTCATCTGAAGGCATGCAACTTTAATATGATGATACATTAATTACATTCCATGAAAATGTTTAGAGATATAAAATATCTCATGACATGTTTGTTCATTTTACATGACACCTTTAATTCAGCAACCATAAAGTCTTCACAAAAAGAAGTATGCAATCGTACCTATATTACGAGTACATACGAATATATGTAATATTTTTCTTGTTATATATCATTTTGTAGTACACATAGTGTTATCTGTACCTATAAATAAAATGACGACCTTAACATTGTGAAAGTCCAAAAATCTATTTATAGAAGAAGTTTTAGTTTAACGAAACGGCCATTCGTGTCGTGCTATGGTTATAAATAACGAACTGGAGCATTGTGTAGGAAATGAAATAAGAAAAATGAAACATATTCAAACAATTAATTGCACTTTGGATATTATAGACCTGTATATTTTGGATGTTATCGTTAATATTGACATAATTTCAATTTCCTGTGGAAAAAATAATATTCTAATCTCTAGCATGCCTACCAAATTTCATGATGAATAAAATATATATGACTTTCGTCCGCCCATTCATAAATATTATACAATTCTGGTAAAAACCAATTAACCATTGAAAAGTTTATAAGAATATCTGGTCATCAGATGTCTACTAGTTCATCTTCACTCGCTGCATGTCTTGCATGGACGCCCTTTGATGCTTTGCATCAATGCTTCTCTTGTTAATAATACAGAACAACTGTGTTATTGATGAAATATGGTGAATGGATATGATGAAAAGTCTGTGAAAAAATATTTCATGCTTTTTATATGCAAAATGAATATGAAAACCCATGTTTAATATACATAATTATTGTAATAAAGACCTTTTCTGAGTTGATGCGACGTATCCCTCCCCCCCCCCAAAAAAATCAAAAAAATCTGGATATTTTTTTTAATTCTAAAACGGTCACGATCGTTACGATCTTCGGCAATTATTTGAAATAATTTTCGCCAAAACTGCCCAATACCAACTAGTTTTACTAGCTTTTCTTTTTCAGAATTGTCGTACCGTGAATGTCGTGAAATAATTTTGTGTCAGTCCTACGAATGACCGTCGAGGTCATTTTAAGTTAATGGCTTTCAAAATAATAGTAACAGCAACGACGGCAAAAACACTAACAACAAACGTGAATTAACGATTTAAGAATTGATAGAGTTAAATTCGTGAATTCATAAGCTTAAATCGACAATTCATTTAAACAACAATTTCTGATGTTGAAATAGTAGAGTCAATAAATTTCATTGTTGAAATAAATAATAAAGTAATAATGACCCTACCAATCGCACGTACACTCACGTCTCGCCATTTGATAACTCACAGTGTATTGACTTTAGATTAAGTAAATCATATTGTAAGTTTTTCATTACTACATTTAAACAGAACCATTTATCTAACCGTTCCCAAAATATAAGAATATTGTTGTCTTATAAATTTCTAAATCTAGTTAAAAATGACATATATATGACAACAACAAAAAACAATACATTGTATGCATGTTTCTTTTTTAAGTAACACGGCTATTTAACAAAGTATTATCACAATAAACGTTTACCTGAGGTTGTTTAACTGTTACATGCTCGTTATCAAATAATTGTTGTTATCAATGGAAAATAACGAACTTTGTTTTATTCGCATATCCAAAAACTTCAGCGTTGTGCTTCCTTTTTAGTATCAATATAAATAAATGTGAACCGGAGTAAAAAGACATCAAGTAGTATTTTTAAGTTGTTTTGGAAAGGGATTAAAAGACGTGACATAGTTTTCTTGTCTCCAAATTATGGGGCGTTTACTTTCGCTTTTGTCATATGTGATTGCAGTGTCATGTTTATCTTCAGCTACCAACGAATTACAAGAATTATCAGGTAACACTATATGTTCATCAAGATTGTCATGCCGCCTATTTCGGACATCCTATTGGAGATGTTTTATTGCGTTAACGATTATTTGTTATGATCATAAATGATTTATTTATTTATTTCAGCCATGTATATGTTAAAAAAGTGATCATATATGTTTTCCTAAATTTTGTAGTTATTTGCTATTATCAATATGGTTGCAACTTATGCAGGCCAAAGACTGAAATTGCTCATTATTATGTCTTTAAACATTTCAGTTATACTATTTTAAAAACACTCGTTTAATTGACATATCAGATACATATAGCTTGTTTATGTTCATATCTAATTATTATCTTGTATAGTTATCTTATTTAATGAAATGTTAAGTTTAAAACTTGTAAAAGTAAAGAGAAAAATAAGCCGTAAATTAGATAATTACATATTTAACGTTTCGTCTACCTTATAGTATTAAATTTTATCAGAAAATATTCTAATCTTAAAAATCTCTTGCATGAAGAATTACAAAAATATAAAAGTAAAAAAGAAAGAAAAGAGAAAAAGAGAAGAAAAGAAATCACTATTGTAAGTAATCAGTTACTTTAACAAACGTAATGGTTTACTATTTACCTTTAGATTTTACCTCTAGTGAAGAAGAGTTCATCACTGTCAAAGAAGGTGATAACCTGTACGTGTCGTGTAATTTAACTGGTCCACAGATAATATGGCACACACCAAACGGTGAATTATTTGGTAGACAGTTAAATTTAACAAACATAACACGGGAGTTCCTAGGGCTATACTCCTGCTCCAATTCGAACATTAACAAAACTGAACCGAAAAAAGACAATGACAATTTATATTCTGTGATAGCAAATGATTTTTACCTGGATGTATTGTGTAAGTATATTTGTGTTTTCTATTCTGTAACATTTATTTTAATTATAAACACTTTCATTTATGTTTTTAAGAAAAAAAAATCTTTTTGATTTTTGTATATACATGTGAGCAAGCTTAACTGAGATTTCTTTCCGTTAACCCTCACATAGAAACTAAAACTAAGAAGGACAAATAAATATGTAGAAAAGGATAAAAATGCTTCCGGGTTTGGGCCTGCCCGGGGTTTTAAATTGGGGAAAAAAGCGGGGGTTTTTTTCCCCTTTTTGACCCAGAAAAAGATAACTTGTAGACGTCGTTCAAACAACAGTTCAGCCAAACGGTACTTACAAGATGCATGTTGGAATTGAGGGCAATCCTGCTCCTCTTACTACATTTACGTCGTTATCTGATCACAAGATATGGTTCAATCAAGCGGACAAGGAAGGAAACTTCACAATCAATATTGCCAAAATGAACTGCACTAACACTGATAGCTATATTCTTACATGTGAAAATAGTATTGGAGAGGATTCCAGAACGGAGGACATTTATGTAGCATGTGAGAAACAATTTTTATTTCACAATTAGATAAAAGCCAAAATGTGATGACGTTAGTACAATATGAAATAATGTAAAATGTAACCGATAAGCACAAAGGTACGTGCATAAGAGTCTAAAACCCATATGCATCTTATCAAACCACCAGTGAAAAATAATTTTTTATGTTACATTTGCTAGGTTATGGAATTAAGGATAGTAAAAGTCAACAACACTTGAACTTTGTTTAATTGTTTTTTCTTAGTTTCTTATTTTCTAGGCTATTTAATATGGATTGATAATTTTATCCAATTGTACATTATTTAAATTGATGCTATACTTTTCGGCTAACGATCAGTTTCATTTTTGCGTAATCGTTCGTCTGTTTGCCTTTATTCTCCTATCCAGACATTCATTGTTAAATGATTGTAAAAAGAATATGATCTCTCCGATTTTGAAAGGGTTCCAATCTATGAGATGCTCCTGTTCCATAATAAGGTATAACAAAAATTCTGGCAAACTCGGATTTCACGACGCAAATTCTCTTTACGATTTATTTATTTGTTTATTGAAGGTTTGCACATAAATCTTTTTGCTCAATATATTATCCTTGTCTAAGACCGAGGGATATAGATTTGACATTGTTCGTCTGTACATCCGTTCATTATTGCCTTTACAGATACTTAAATGGCTATACGAAGTTTCATTCAAATGACTTATGTCATTCGACAGGGGATATGAATTCAACTTGCTTGTTTAATGCAATTTAAAACTTTATTTGTCAGCATAATGCATTATGTCATTTGTAAAAAGCTGATGGAAAATCAATCTCAATGTCGCAGTACGAAATACAATTTATTTTTACGGGCGACCGAATATTTTGATAACACAAGACAAATTGTAAAAATTTGATAAATAGATAAATAAATAAATCGTTGCTTTAACAGTCAGGTATTATACCATCTATTGCTTTCCAAATTAGAAACGGATATGGATTTCAATCTCAGACCGCATTCCTTTCTGCATTCACATTTGAATATTCCTGATGTCTTTTCAGTGTCTATGAACATTTCGTTTATATTTTCAGGTGTACCAGATCCCGTGACTAACATACATGCGAATGGTATCACTACTAGCGAGGCAAGAATAGATTTTACCACTGGCAATGCTTTCAATACTGAGCAATTCTTCTACATTATGAGAATAACGGACGGTCAGTTACAAGGTATTGTAAAAACATAACGCTAATGTGAAATAAAAAACAACTTAATATACAGCTATGTCATGATATTTTTATACTTGTACCGATATAACAACGTGAACATTTTCAAATATTTCTTATCATAAAATAATCATAGTCCAAGCGGGATCCTGGGAGAGGAATGGAAAAAACTCAGAGATATATGAATATGTCCACGCGACTTTAACAACACTAAAGTAAAGCATGGGTTCCGCACAGCATTTATAGCTGAATATTTTTCCAAACAGCTATTCCTTTCTTGTATCATAGTTTTGGGACCTTTCTGTTGAAAATGTGTCGAGTTAAATCGTTAACATATACACGCACATTCTAGGATCTAATGGCCTCATTTTCATTGTCATTTACAAAGTTTTAATATAACATTTTTAAGCCTATTATAGCATTCGGTTACGATATGGCCAGTTATGTGTTGACGTGCCGTAAAATCCAAACAAACAAACAAACAAAAAATACACACACAGTACGTTAACATGAGTGCGGGTATTAGTTACCCGTACTCCAGAGCATGTCCATTGATTGGCTCATTTTGTCTGGGGTTTACTTATTGTGACGACAGAGAAAGGGAAAGCAAAAGAAATATCATATTCAGATGCTCGTTCATTGCTTACCTTTTTATGGGGTTTCATATTATGACAACAGGGAACGTGTTTTTATGTTTGGCTTTGATACAAAAGAGATAGAACATCAAACACTCGTAATCTGATTAATACTCGGGGGATACGCCCCCTCGTACAAATCAGATAACCTCATGTTTCGATGCTCTTTCTATTGCTTAACATTATTGATAAGGTTTACAATATTGTTTCATTTTCACCCTCAAAGCAAATACATTCTTCCCAGATTAAGCAGTGAGAAACCTTTACAATATATCAATATGGCAACACATACAAGCAAATCATTACTGATTTTAAGTAATTCCACTTGTTGGAGTATACCATAACAGAATTTGCCTTTGCACTTTAGATTTGCACGTGAATGTAACGGACATAGGAGATGACAGTGGTGGGAAGCCGTTCTTTGTGACGATCAAGAATCTCAATCAGTCAACATCGTACAATATAACAGTTATATCGGGAAATAGATTGGGGAATTCAACAGGGCCATCAAGCTTTGTCAATTTCGAAACATATGGTACGAAAATGTCATTAAAGCTACTCATGAAATAGAAATACTTAAAGCACGTCAACATAAGGTAGAAATTTATATACATATATATTTGGTTTGTTAAAACATGCGTAAAGCGGTTAAAGGTTGGAGTTTTGTTAAACACCTAAAACATTTTGCATACAATAGCATTAAATATTTTACTAATTATGACTTATACTTAAGTAGTTTCAATGTTTCTTTAACATTTGAAGAATCATCAGATGAAGGGGAGTTATCATTGTTTTACAGGAAAACCAGAACCGGACCAAAAGTTTGTTGTAAACAAAACCTTTAAACCACGACTCGGCGAGTCTGTGTCCCTAATTATTCATTCTCGGGGCAAACCACCACCTTCTTACACGTGGTTACATAACGGAACATTGATAAATAGCACTGGTGACAACGATACCAGCATAGTTGACCTTGAGGCAATCGTTGTTGACAACTTTGGGATATACAATCTCACTATGGACAATATCTATGGAACGTACGCTGTAGAGTATGAAGTACTGGCAGACGGTAATATTTTGATAACAATGTTTGCTAAAAAATATAAAGTTTAAAAATGTTTACATGATTGCAATGTATACATAAAAATATATGATGGAGATATACACGTTTGAATATTCAAAACACAATAAAATAAAGATGAGTAGATTTTACATGTCAATTAAAATTGTTAAAGTAACAAAGTAATTTTTCATTATTTCTAAATTCCGTCTTCGTTGGGGAAACTGAAAATAAAACTGCGCTAATAAATAAATCTTAAGTGTATGAAGGCTTTTTTACCATTGCGCATTAGAATCTACCTAGCAATAAGTATCTCTGAATGACAATTCTTTATTATATAAATGGTTAACTGTATGCTTTTATTGTTTTTTATTTGTCTTCATTTCCAGGACCTCCAGAACCGGTTTCTAATGTACTTGTTTCAAATATAAACTTTACCTGTGCTCATATTCATTTCACAACTGGATATAATTATAACAGTACTCAAACTTTTATTATAAAAGAGTATATTGATGGACATTTCAAAGGTAAGAAATCACCCATAATTGTTTAAATCTCGTTTTATTTAAAATAAAACTTTGTTGTTATATTCTTTTGTACATTTTTAATTTAACGGCAAATATTAAATGCATGTAACATTTAAAGTAATCGTTTTAGAAAATATTAAAATATTGAAAAATTTAAAAGTTTGCCAAAGAAAAACATAAATTTTGACAGCAGGAATCCTTTTTTTACTACAAAAAATTATTTAAAAAATATTTTTCTGCTATTGTTGTAGTTTTTGAAGGTCCCCTGAATATCGAAAATTAATACAAAAATGCTAAAAGAAAGACTCATTGCTGGCAATTCCTGAATTGAATTCGTGATATGAATCTTCAATTCATTAAAAAAATTCCTTATAATCATGAATTGCTATTATAGAACTGATGAACTGCAAGGACGTAACAGCGGGAAAAGGTGGCGAACCTTTTACATGCGAGCTGTGTGATCTTTTTGAAGATACACTGTATAATATTACTGTTGTAGCAAATAACAGTCGTGGTGAATCTGAACACAATCCGGAATCTGTCAAATTTTCAACATACGGTAAAACATAAACAATTACATCACCCATTTTAACATCGGTTTTAGATATATCAAAAATAAAAATAAAAATAAAAGAAACACTCAGTTTAATCTAAACAGGTATGTTGTACGAGACATTTATACGTATACCTCGGCCACGTTGTTTCGATTTTTGTGTGCGACTCGTGTTCACACTGTTGACTATATTGACTTTACGTTTATCCACAATCACTAACTCATATGCATCAATGCAGAGAGTTTGGCGCCTGATTCCTGAACATACATTATATTTACTACAATGTAAGAAATGTTACGATCATTGAACGCCATTCCATTATAGAAGTGTTTTACTTAAGATATACATGGAGCGGCTTCGTGTTTCATTTCTAAAGAAAGTTTAACATTAATGTATATTTTACTATATTAAGATGTTTATTTTCATTTAGGAAAACCTAAACCAGACCCGGACCATCCGAGTAATACAACGTTTAAACCACGCCTAGGAAACACTGTAACATTAAACATTCATGTCATTAGTCATCCTCCTCCCAGCTTTGCCTGGGTTCATAACAACAAAGATGTCAGCAGTGTTGACACAAACCAAAGTAGTGCCGTAGATTTGAAGAATTTTGAAGTAAAAGATTTTGGAGAATATTTACTTAATGTTTCAAACGAAGTAGGATCATTTTTAAGATTGTACGAGATTTTGGCGGATGGTAAGAAATACTTCTGACATTACAAGATTTCAAAGTCTTAGTAATGAGAGTACTCGTATCAGGTATTAAATCAAAGTTCTAAATTGACTATCGATTTTACGAAAGTTTTAAAAACGGGGGAGAAGTATTAAGACATTATCAATTAAAGTTTTAAGGTTGTTTAAATAACACAAGCGTATGTTTTTAAAATATTCTAACGAATAGTGTGTTTCATATATTTCAAGGAATGTTATTAAAAATAGTACCTGAAGAAATCACATATGAAACACATAGCAAAGGTAGATTGTACTTTTAACAAATTAGTTATCTCATTATATACGAAACCTATGAAAGTTTTAAAACTATTTTGTGCTTTTTGTGATTCTTTAATTTTTTAAACTTAGTACATGTATTCGTTTATCATTGGTAGTATCGACATAAATGTTGTAAATGTTGAAAGATCGCATATCTAAGAATTTTGTTGGAATAATGTCAAGGTCCCCCAGACAGCGTTACTGACCTGTCATATACGGATGTTGCTGCTGATTCTGTGGAACTACATTGGAAAGCTGGTTTCGATTATGGAAGTACACAAACCTTTCAAGTACATGGAACAGTTAATAATAAAGCTTTACAGAGTAAGGGTGCTTCATCATTATATAAATATGTCAAATTTAATTAATATTTATTTGCAATGGTCATATACTTATACTTATTTCATAGGTAGTTTTTTTTAAAAAAAGTACTTGACTAAGGTAAAATGTTGCTGCAGCTTTGCTTTGTTTTTAAAATCTTAAATGAAATATGTGTAATATTTTATATGAGTGCTACTACTGATTTTATTCTAAACATAAACGTTTGTTTCTATTACATATTTGATGTTTGATGGTATAGATTATGCATGCGTCTATGTTGAAACGAAATATGTGTCTGGCACGTTTTGAATCGAGATAAACATAACTATTTTGTTATTAATTAGCATATTGACATCCCTTTGAATCTTACACAAAGTTAAGATTATCGTTTAATAAAAATTATAAAATTGTCTTGAAATCCGCATCCAGATGTCAGCGAAATACAGGACTCAACAGGTGGAAAAGGGGGAAGTTCTCATTTTAAGTTAGAACATTTAGAGAGTTCATCTCAGTACATAATTACCTTAACTGCAAAAAATGCTAAAGGCGAAGCGAAAAAATCTAATGAGGTATCATTCACTACACAAGGTGAGTTTTTATCTTAATTATCTATAATATAAAATTTAACGATTCATGCATTTATGTGTGTTTCATATGTGTATTTTCAATTTTAAGTAAATAATTTAATAACTGTTTTTTGAACAACGTGAATTGCACCTGTCAAACATTTTGTGTAATATAAGTACAATGTATTATGTAAGTAAAATATAAATTAAATACAAAAAAAAATTCCAACATTTTCTATAATATGATCTTCTTGTTACTGATATTGAAACGTGTAGCATGCCCAAACAGCATACAGTATTTTGTATTAAAATGAGAAGAAAGCATGCATGAACGGATAAGTTCACGCGAGCACGCGCAGTTTTTTTTATACTTGTCAATTACACTGCACTAGCAAGTTTAAAGCTTTAAGTAACCGAAATACAATAAAAAATCAATGGGTCCTCGTCCTTCTGAATATGAAAATGCCGTGCGTTAAATTGTAGAAAAAACTAGATCCATCGTTTGAAAAAAAACCTGGAGCTTGTCTTCAAATGCTAGTATATGTTATTAATGAAAAAATGCAACTGCACGTTTAAGATCGTATTAAGAACATGCTTCAGAAACGGGTGAAATAATGTAATTTTGATGAAGAGTTTGTGGTCACTGACGTTATTTTCTGGATAAACTGTTGTTGCAATGTTAGTCTTCTCAATTAATTCCACATGTTCTAGATACCTAGCATGTTTTCAATCAATTAGGCATGTTCTAGATACCTAGAATGTTTACAATCAATAAGATGTGTTTATCAGTTTTCTTTTTGATGGAATAGATGTTAAGGGGTTGGTCAATATGCCAAAATCTTGTTTACGATAGTTGGCTTAGAATTGTTATAGCTCTTTGTTCTAGCTGCAAGAAAAGGTCACGCTACAACAACAGCAGAGTATGTTGGTTATGTCATAGGATCTGTTGGAGGGTTTGTATGCATTTTGCCCCTTTTCATGTTGTCAGGCATTTTTCAAGGGCCTGGGTCCCTGTAAGTAAAAAAAAGTAACTTGCTCAAAAATTTCAAATGTGTTTTGGGAATAATACCGTAAAAAATAATATACTGTTATAACTTGAGGCATGATGCCAGATTATTTAGGGTTTTTGATATACAAAAACGTACCGATTGCCGCAAATGGTGTATTTGCATATTAATGTCTGATAATTTTTAATAAGGGGTTGAAACTTGATATGCTTATACAATAGAAAAAGCAACCCAACGTTGATGATATCTTGTAATTTCTTAAAAGCGCTCTTAAAATAAATTGTTTGTGATTATATATTGTTCAACCATTGTCTGTATGTAAGTATAGAAGATAAAGAAGAATATTCCAAAAATGCGATGACTATAAAAATGATTTCATCTTAGATATAGATATATTTGGTTGAAGTTAAGACGCATATCTTGTGTTAGAAGAAGACACATGTGAAATGTTTAACCTGACGATGCGTTCAAAATGTGTATGTGTCAATAACGTGCTTTAAAAATAACTTTTACGTTTGTAGACGAAGCGCCGAATGGAGAAGAATTTACACCACAGCCACATTCGGACAAGTATAATAATGCCGCAAACGCCGATAACAAATTTTATCAACTACTTTAATAACATTCACACTAAATACAAATTATCAAACATGCATGTTCTTTTTGTGAAGTTTGTGAGACAAAGGTTTTGCCTTTCGTTTTATTGAGCATGTTTGAAAAGTTTTAATATGTGGTATGATATGCTATGACATGAGTTCTTGTTGTTTATTATGTAAGAATAAGATGATGAGTACTAATAGGTTGATTATCTATTAAAGTCTATATATATCTATATACATTGTACAATATAATATAACATACCACATATCATAAGAATATGTATATAGCCATTCTATACAGAATTACAGGGGACTACAAATGTATAAAGCACACACATTTATATATATATATACTATATTCATGTTTGTATGTTTCATTTATCAGTAAGCTGGTTATATTTATTTTTATATTTCGTTCTCTTTGTATCTGTACTCTAAAACGCGGGAAAAATTTATTGTTAATAACAAACTTGTAGTTTGTTTATTGTTAATCAAAATAGTAACACATCCAACCTTTATTTACACAAAATAATAGGTAATTAAAATGTACTGATACGACTTTATTTGTGCATTTAACCTTCATATAGTTATATTTTCAGCAATTATTAATCTTTCATAAAGCATTTTATTCATTCTAAATACGAAATATGATCATATAGATGTTATGTATGGAATAAATTACGACAGATATAAAAAAATGTTTTCCTCATTTAAACATGTTTAAAAAATCAAGAGGATAAATTTATGTTGCTTCATTTATGGATTACTTTAGATAATCATATTTTTCTCTGCATTTTACATGGATAATACGACATCAACCTGTTTTGTAAACAATTTGCACCTAGCCATTTTATAAAAGTTATTGATCACTGATTGTTACATCAAATGCATGTATTGGTCATTGTTTCTGTTTTTTATATGCTGATACAATAATAATGATACTATAATAGCCTCAAGTAATTATATTAACCTATAGATAGTTCATTTAAATTGTATTTATTCAATAGTAAATCTGTCACTTTTAGTCACAATAAAGATAATTTCAGAGGCTGTGATAAAGGGTGGTCACTCTAATCGGTATCTTCAAAGTAAGCTTACATAATTTTCTCCAATCAATTGAAAAGAAAAGTCATCGCATTTCAAGAAAATTCCTACAAGTTTTCTATTAAAAAAAGATATTGGAGTAAAAAGTGACAAACAACATCACAAGTACCTGTGAAAATATTGGAGAAGCACCGAAAACATAACCATTACAAAAAGTTTAGATAATTAGGTAATTGTCCGACTTTAGTTGAATTCGTTTTTCGAAAATGTATGAAGATAACAAAATCTTTAAGTAATCTAATTCCTTATACTTACCTACATTGTTTCAATCCTAACATAAGAAATATTGAAAATAAAAGTTAACAGCAAAATCCGCATTCCCCACATTGGTGAATAGGTAAAATAACTTGAAAATGATTTTTTTAAAAATGTTATCAAGTGTACAAATATATTTTGAAAAAAAGGCGCATATATTAATAACCTTTCTAGAAAAAAAGCTCATAATAAGGTCCATTGATACCACTTGATTTTAAAATAAATTAAAAACAAAATGGAAGCATTTTTTTTGTTAAAGGGACAGTTTTCACGTAGAGTGTACGCCTTTTATAACTTCACGTGTATTATCCAAAACGCTTGTCATTACACCGTAACAAAAAAAAACAACAATAATTAGGTGCGCAGTCTATGATATGAAGTATTATTTATTCTGTATTTCAGAATTAATGCAACACATTTCGGTTAAGGTATACAATAATAAAATAAAAAAAATCATGAATGTACAGTCCTAATGGAATGTATTGCTCTCGTTGATTGCATAATGTTTTATGCTATATTCTTCATTAAGTAGGGTCCCGAAACTCAAGTTATATGATGACCCGCAAAAAAGTGTCTTTTGCATATGACTTTTTATATTAGGAAAAAATGATGTTAAATATATTGCCTTGAGGAAACTAAATAGAAGTTTATACGACAATGTCACGGATCAAATATCATATTCCTAATCTTAGAGTTCTAAGAATATCAATGGTTATCGCTATATGAGTCATTGTAAACTAGAACCCAGGAACACGGTCAATTTTGACCCTATTGTCGAGATTTCTACAAACTTAGCAGTGTTTTACAAGACGGTGCGTCAAACACAATATCTAACCTCTAAACCGCTTGAGTATGGCCTTGCCGGTTTTTATATCTATAAGATTTGAATTTTCTAAAGATTATAAAATGAGATAAAAAAGCTCATTCTTTCTTTTATTGCTGTCACGCAGTTTTACCTGTATTAGTTGCCTTTACTTTAGCAATGAACTGATAACTTCTGTACATGCCAGAGCAGAGGTACAGTGCGAATGACCATAGAAATGATTTCATGATCAATCCATACGAAAGTGACTTGCACCGTCAAGGAATCACAGTTCAACGCTCTCCCTATTGAGTTAACCGGACGGCTTTCCCAGCTTTGGTCTTAATATAAGTTTGCCATATTTTTTACATTGATTCATTACTTTTGATATTGTTCGGAAACCATTTTTCTATTTAAGATAACTTTGACATTGACTCGAGACCGTCCAAAAGCAATCCCAACCACGGTCTTCATATAAGCTATTTATATACCAAGTTTGATTGCAATATATCATTCCTTACTATTGTTTTTGTCCGTCAACAGTTTTTCTATATTTTTAGAAATAGCTAGTGACCTTGGCCCTTGGTCACGTGATAACAATAAACACTAAACACATCTCACATAGACGCATAGACAATATTGCAAAATATCGTCACGCGTGGCTAGTTTTAAAAAGGTATGACTAGTGTGACTTTTAATCACACATATAAGGAATGTTATAAGCGTAATAATCGGTTGGTGGTGCACTTTGCAGAATATCACCAAATTTATGAAATGATTGATAAATAAATACTATTGGGTTCCACTATGATGGATGACTTCATTACGCTGATTATAAATGGTCTAAAATTCTTCTATTATAAGACATATCAACTGATATATTCCAATCCTGCGTGAGCCGTTATTTTAAAAGTACATAAAAACATATCATAATAGGAACGAACAATATCAATGTATTTATTTATAATGGTGCCTTTGTTTTTTGTTTTATCGGACCGAATATATGTAAAAATGAAAGCAAGCTGTTATCGGCAGTTTAACACCGATATATTTTCGTCTTTGTGTATAGTTTTTTAACTATTCAGGACTTTTTGTTTGGACGAAGATTTGTATTCACCGACATCTTTACTGAATATGCTGAATTTTTTACTTAATGGAAGAAGCCGCGAATCGTTTGGAAATGTTTTTTTTCGAGCACATGTACATTCGTATCTCTTATGAATTTTCGTATTTCTAATATAAGTATCAGTGTTCTAGTAGTTATAAAAAACTAGCATTTCTGTCATATAAAGGG